GTGACTAAGGAACTGGTTCAGAAGAAAGAACATTAAAGGAACCTGGCAACTAAATGCAATGCATGGTCCAGAATTTTCCTTTTCTATAGAAGACATCATTGAAACACTTGGCAAAATCTGAATATAGTCTATATATTGGATGACAGTATGGTATTAATATTAATCTCCTGATTTTGATTTATTGTACTATGACCATATAAAATAATATCTTTGCTTTTGAGAAGCACGCACTGAAGTATTTAGGGATAAAGGAGCATCATGTGCAGCTGAATCTCAAATATTTCAGAAAAAAATATATTTGTGTATATGGATGTCAGGATGCATGTGCCAAAAAAAAAAAAAAAAAGAGGAGAAGAGGAAAGGGAAGATAAGGCCAATACACATAGCTCATATTTGGAGAATCTGCTGAGAAATATACAGAATTCCTCCAGATATGTCCTACTAATAAAATATATTTGTTATTTTTCATTTCTGGATAATGACTAACTCACCAGGATTGAGATTAAATGAAGAGAATAAGAAATTTTTTTTTATGAAATACACATATCATTGAATTTTTTATCATATTAATGTTAGTTTTGTACAAACATGGAATTAAAATCATACATCTTTATATTATTTATCATCTTATTTGAACTAAACATAAAAATAACGCTACTGTCTTTCTAAAAAAAAAGACTTTATCTTATAAATAATTACTTAGAGAATGCAGGTTACTTTGAAGGCTAGTGGTGTAGGCAATGGAACTTTGCTCAAAATCACTTCCCCCATAAGTCAGAATCTAATTGCCTTACAGAATATTCAAACTAGGGATTTTATCTGATCATAGCTAAAATTTACTATCACTGTAAATCCATCAGATGACTATGTATTTGAACTAGTAAAATTACAGCTTATTTTTTTTTAGTGCTCATTTTATAAACTATTGTTTAATTGACATTTTTCTGAAAAGATTCTTCTACTTGGTTTCCTAATTAGAAACGGACATTCTAGAGACAGAGCTGCCACCATTTTTTAAGGCTCCTCTTACTATTTTTCGTAGCATTGGATTTTAATGGTCACATCGCCCATGCTCAATGATTTTGTAGTTAGGCTCTGAGCCACACACTGTTAGTTTAGGACAGAATGAGACTTTATTTTTTTATCATTTTTTAAAGATTTTATTTATTTATTCATGAGAGGCACAGATTGAGAGAGTGAGGCAGACACACAGGCAGAGGGAGAAGCAGGCTCCATGCAGGGAGCCCGATGTGGGACCTGATCCCGGGTTCTCCAGGATCACACCCTGGGCCAGAGGCAGGCACCAAACCACTGAGCCACCCAGATATCCCCAGAATGAGGCTTTAGATAGCACATATAATTTGTAGAATAATGATAGGGTGGATGCTTGTTTGCACCAGCAATAAACTGGTCTCTCAGTAACCATAGGGTTCTACTTCCTTGAAAACTTATTGCTTAACTAAGTTGAGGAATGTGTTCTAATATTGACAATAATGCATTTATATTCATCTAATGTTTAGTGATATATACATAAGTTCTTCATTATTCCCATTTGAAAAAAATAGAATAATAAATTAACAGTTATCTCTCATTTAAAACACTCTTTGAAACAAAGTATAAACATATGTTTAAAATATTAATTACTCAAATAATATATTATGAGATAAACTAAAATATTCATGGCATTTTAGTGATAGGAGTTCCAAATCCATTTTCCATATATTCATTTCCAAAATACGGATGGTTGTCCGAGCTGGAAAGTAATCAACATAGTCTTTAAGCTCTTAAACTTCAAAACTATAAAATAAAATTGAAACAAACTATTTCTGTACTTTTTCTGAGTAAAAATGAATCATTTAGCTTTCACTTACAATCATGCATACATAATTTCAATCTGCTTATTGTTTTTATTTAGCACTTTGCACAAGAAAATTAAAGACATTGCCGAACTCCAAGAAGCATATCAGCACAACCAGCCATTTGCTCTTAGGACAACAGTGCTATGCTAAGTTGATTTTTACTACTGTTGCATTTTAGAATGTAAACAACGATGTATTCCTAGTCTAAAAAGCAATGTTTAGCTGAAATAAGATTTGCTCAGCAGCATGTCAAGACAACTTGATTTATTTTAAAAAGAAAAAATGAAGTTATAAAACCTATATAATGCTAATATAATTGTTGAAAATGCAGAAAAGTACATTTTTATAAGATGCTTGAGTTGCAAGATAGACACCATTAAAAAACAAAAAAATATTTACAATTATGAATTTTAAATGATGAATACATTTATTGGGTGACAAATGGAAGTAAAACATTTTATGAAAAATAAGATCTTAAAGAATGTTTAAGATCAAAGTCTATGTAGAATTATACATAAATTTTCTAAGGCACTGTAAAGGAATTCTGTGATTTTGGATTACATATCCAGAAGCATAACATGAAGCTACAAGATAGTAAAGAGTTATGCTATCCATTTTTTTTGTATTGCACTGTGAAAACTGCATTCAATTTTAGTCACCTCATTTATAACAAAATATAAGAAGCCAGACAGATTTCTGAAAAAAAAAAAAAAAACAATAACATTTAGGAATCTGGAGAGGGTATCTTTTTAAGACTTTATTCATTCATTTATTTGAGAGGTAAGGGGGGAAGAGATGAGTGGGAAGAACAGAGGGAGAAAGATAAGGAGACTCCATGCCGAGCATGTAGCCTGATGTGGGGCTCAATCCCCCCAACCCTGAGATCATGACCTAAGCTGAAATCAAGAGTCAGACTGAGCCACTCAGGTGCCCTTGGAGAGGGTATTTTTAATGAGATAACGTTCACAGAAGTCTTTATTCTACATTTCCAGAATATGATTAGATGTATGCTCATGATGGATTTTGTGTAAGCACACAGTCTTTTGAATTTAAAAAGCTACTTAAAATCAGATTATTTTCACAAAACTTCCTAAACTGAAAGAATCAATAAGGATCACCTTTAACCAAAATTCTCATTTATGGGATACCTAGGTGTCTCAGTGGTTGAGCGTCTGCCTTTGGCTGAGGGCATGATCCCAGAGTGCAAGGATTGAGTCCCACATCGGGTTCCCTGGATGGAGCCTTCTTCTCCCCCACCAGTTTCTCTGCTTCTGTGTGTCTCTCACGAATAAATAAAATATTTTTTAAAATTCTCATTTAAAAATGGGCTTTGGCCCCAAAATTGTCATTCTAAAGAAGTTTCTAGAGCTGTTAGTATCAAAGCCAACACTGAAACCTACATTTATATTTTTTTCTAATTTGTCACATACTTCAAGTATCTCTAGCTAGTATCATTTTATTGAGTTAAAAGTACCACCTTATTAACTTTTTTCCAAATACATTTTGGACATTCTTACTATCAAAGCACATGGGCTTTGGTATAAAACAAGTAATTTCAGTCTTTGTTCTATAACCTCAAAATTTGAAGTTGGCCTAATTACTTAAGCTTTCATTTTCTTCTAGAATTATTAACAGTAGAAACTTTACAGGGCTTTTGGGTCTTTTTTTTTTTAATGGTAAAAAAGTATTTAATAAGTGCTACACATTAGTACAGAAAAACACAGTCTATAGCTCATACTTTAAAACCACAACAGCCAACTGAAACCAGTAGGGACTTGTTTTTACTTAGGGAAAAAATATAGAAGGTACACATTGGGAATTGAAATACACTATGCTTTTTCTTTCTAGAGGTATGGTATGTCTTTTCTGGTCAGTAATTTCTCTGAAACATTGTGCTACGTCAAAGCCTACAGATGACCAGTGAAGCTGTCTGCTCTCCTACTTCTTCTGAGCTAGCTCAGTGGAACACCGTCTTGGCAGGCAGATTCTGACAGGAGGAGGCGACTACAGACACCCTACCCCCAACAGAACACCTAACAAAATGGTTTATATGAAAAGGGATTTCAGAAACCTGTACAAACACTTAACATGCTGTAGGAAAGGGAGACCTTTTAGCCTACTTCCAGCAGAAGCACACACTCGTTGGCGCCCAGTAAACCAGGCACAACAACAAAGAAAGCCTTTTCGCTTTCATAGCACCAACAGCTAAAAAGCACACAGCATATAATACTTTGATTTTTTTAAATTTTTATTTATTTATGATACACAGAGAGAGAAAGAGGCAGAGACACAGGCAGAGGGAGAAGCAGGCTCCATGCACCGGGAGCCCGACGTGGGATTCGATCCCGGATCTCCAGGATGGCGCCCTGGGCCAAAGGCAGGCGCCAAACCACTGCGTCACTCAGGGATCCCTATACTTTGATCTTTAAGTGGGTAATCATGGAGGCTCCAAGATTATATCCACTAGGTTAGCCTGAGTATTTACCTATAAAAATATTTTTCTAAAAAAATGCTTAAGAGGATTCTAGAAACAGACTAAATCAAGGACTAGCAGAAGACAGTGATGCAAGGACTGCGAAGTGAAAGACAAGAAACTGATGTTCACATGGAGCTTCAGGTACAGGACTGAATCCTCAGCTGATTCCTAGAGCCGAGGCTCGCTGGGATGGGAGGAGTGGCAAGGAGCTCAGCCAGGCGGCTGGCTTGATTAACAGCCTGGGGACCTGTTCCCCAACAGGAAGAACCCCCTTTGAGGCTGCAGGTCTGATGAGACGATGCATACAGGAGGCTGTGGGCACACAAGAGCCTGATGGACATGCAGAGCCTGTGGAGCCAAAGAGGGTCGGAGAGGATGGGTTCTTCCAAATGCTTCGGACCTACCAGCATGTATGTCAGGGGAAGAGGCCCCGGTGTGATGCGCGCCTTGGGCTTGCTCCAGAAGGGCCTGACGCAGAGGCCTGAGGCAGGGGGTCTGCTCGGGGAGGAGTGCTAGGATCACCAACCACGAGAAGGTGCTTCGGGGTCTTTGGAGGGTCAATGGATTGTCCTCTGACCCATCAATACTTAACATTAATGAGTCGTAAAACAGGGTCAGTCTTTCCAACGTGTATTGTCACATTAGCCAGAGCCTCTTCCAGTCTGTTAGGCTGGCAACGTCCAGAAAGATCCCATTGCCTGGCGGTGGGACCTGGGCCGCAGGTCATTCTCGGAAGCTGGCGCAATGATTTGGGATTTGCACAATGAAGGGATCCCACATTCTGGGATTTGCACAATGAAGTCACCACTAAACCACTGCTTGAGTCCAGTCCCCGACCTTCTTTTTCCGCTCTGTAGTCCAGAAACATTTCTTTAAAAGCCAGGAAGCCTGTAAACGTGAGCAGCACGTCCCATACGTCGCCTGCCACTTCCTCTCTAGGGTGCTGTAAAGTCGTTGTGAAAGCCGCCATGTTAAACCCAGGGAGCCGCTCCGGCAGCTGTTCTTCAATATACTTTTCTACCAAAGAAACGTATTCATTGAAAACAGGCGTGTAGGTGCGTGCATCCTCTTCCGCGTCTTCAAGCTCCTGATTGTACTTGCCCATGAAATTCCTCTGTAGTAACGGGAACTCGTCATCCATGACGACGTCCTCTAAGTATCCAACCACAGCGTCGAATTTGTTGTGCCCAAGATGGCGAATCCCAGAAGCCGCCAAGGAGCCGACACCGACGCAACCACACGAGGGTTTATTTACAAGCCGGAGCCTGGGCCCAAGGGTACCCGATGCAGGGGAGACTTGGACCCCGAGACTAAGAGGCTTAGCAACTTTATAGGGGCCAGTAGCCAATGGGATACACAGGAAGTTGCACAGTCATGCTGGTCCGCTGAGCCGGATTTCCGGTGAGGGTGCGCCCTGGTCTCTGACTGGGGCGGGGCAGTATCCCTGAGCCGGACTTCCGGTGAGGGTGCGCCCTGGTCTCTGCCCTAAGTAATAATCAGGTCAGCGCAAGGCGGGTGCAGCCCAAAGTAGAGTCCGTCCTGCTCTGCTTGTCCAGGCGTAGGGGATTTTGTTCGATTTCCTGGGTCCCACAGAATCCTACATCAGAGGCAGAAGGGAGCGACAGCGCGAAGCTCTCTTCCACTAGGGCGTCCGCTGCCGCTGCCGTCGGCCTGACCCGCCCCGGCCCGGGCCCAGCCTCCGCTCTGCCCGGTAGAGCCTCAGCCGGCATCCGGGAGGCCTCGCCGCGCCGCTCACAGGCCTCAGGCCCCCGCGCCCGGCCAGGCCTCTCGGCCCGCACCCGCGCGCTCTGCTTTTGGGTCTTCTATGAAAAAACTGAAGTAATATGCTTAGCCCAGAATCTGGCACATAATGCGAGTTTCATCATTGTTGATGATTATGAACTGTGGAGGAGGAGCATACACAGGTAGATGAAAAACATTCTTTATAGCTTCCAGAAACTCTCCTCAAGTGAATGAATACAAAGCAAACCACAATTGGAAAAATCATGACAAAGTTGTTAAAAATCCTGTCCAAAAAAAGGTGAGTTTTTTTTTTATTGGTTTTTTTTGTTTTTTTTTTTTTGACATGTGTCTTCAAATAATAAGGGACTGACGATGGATTCCTCAACAGAAATCATGGAAACCAGATGACATAGGGGTGACATTTTTTAAGTGGTTAATGAAACTGTCACTCTAAAATTCTACACTGAACAAAAGTATTCTTCAAAAATATGGTTAACTGAATAAATTTCCAAACAAACAAAAACTAATACAACACTCAAAGCCAAACACACAAAAGGCAGGAAGTGGGGAGGTTGTTTTTCAGGTAGGAGGAAAGTGATCCCCAAGACTGTAAGATAATATACTAAGTAATGAAATGTAATAGAATATTCAATTATTTGGGTAAATGTAAATAGATAATGAATGGTTAAATTTATAATAATAGTGATTTCATGGTTTTGGGAATTATTTAAAATTTAAAAACAACAATATAAATGGTGAAAGAGTAAGAAATGGGGTTATCAGGGTTCTATGAACTCTGTTTATCAGCAAAAATGTAGTCAAGGAAGCATTTTTTAATATCCACAGTAATCACTAATAGAATAATATAATGCATACCTAGAAAGCTAACAGAGAGATAAAAATAAAAAAGGAATAATTTGGGCAGCCCTGGTGGCCCAGCGGTTTAGTGCTGCCTTCACCCTGGGATGTGATCCTGGAGACCTGGGATCAAGTCCCATGTCAGGCTCCCTGTACGGAGCCTGCTTCTCTCTCTGCCTCTATCTGTCTCTCCCTCTGTCTGTCATGAATAAATAAATATTTTTTTTAAAAAAAGAATACTTTTTAAAAATAGGTAAAAACATTAAATAACAGATTTGTAATCACCTGGAGAAAAAATCAAATATTAAATATAAATAAACAGAATAGTCCAAGCAAAAAGCAAAAATTATCAGACGGTACAAGAGCAAAAGTCAAATATATGATCCATGCAATAGGCACGCATTAAATATGAGGATATAAAAATCTGAACATAAAGGCATGCAAAAATATATATCATGAAAATGGTAATCAGAAGGAAGCTGGTATAATTAATATTAATTCAGAGTTTAACTAGAGTTAATGGCAAGGTTTATTTCTATCAATGTAAATAAATATTGCCTAATGATAAAATAGTTCATTCAAAAGGAACTATATCTATGTCCTAAATTTTTATTCACATGAAAACACAGCTTCAAGATATTTAAACACTGACATATCATAAAGGATAAGTACACAAGATTACAGTCGAAATGGAAATTTTAGCAAACTTTCCTCAGTAAATGATGAAGCAAGCAGACAAAAACATCAGTAAAGAACTAGCTTTTTTTGAATAGCATGATTAACAAATTTGGTTGAATTGAGATCCATAGACTATTCACCCACATTCTTTGTAAGTGCACATGGATTATTTTCCAAATTGAACATTTATTATGCCATAAAGCAAGTACCAATACATTTTAAGTGACTGAAATTATTTAGTTTGTTCTCTGCCTACAGAAGAATTAAGCTAGAAACACACAGGAACAAAAATGATAGCTAGAAAATCTAAGAATGCTTGGAAATAAAGCAATACACTTCAAAATAGTTGATAAATCAAAGCCAAAATAACAAAAAAGGAACGTTCTAAACTAAATGATGAGGAAAATATATTCTATCAAAATGTGTGTTTTGAAGTTAAAGCTGGGTTGTGAAGGGAATTTTATAGCCATAAGCACATATATTAGAATATTGAAAATCAAGGATTTAAGTATCCCTCTTAATGAATTAGAAAGAGACCTGATTGACAAGAAAAATCAATGACATAGAAAACAAGAAACAATAGAAAAAATCAACAGCTAAAATTTGGTTGTATGAAAAAAGTAATTAGGAAAAAAAACAATATGGCTAATAAAATAGATTACAAATTACTGATGTGAATGAAAAGCAAACATCATTTTCAACTGTATATATATTATAAAGATATTAAAGGAACATTTATCAACATTAAAAAATCACCCTGAAATTTTTGATAAAATGGACAAAGACTTTGAAAACCACGACTTCATAAAATTGACAAAAGAGTTACCATACTCAATATTCAAATTCATATCTCAGTATTCAAAGAATCATAAACTGTCTGTTTTTTAAAATGGGCATGAGGTGCCGGGGTCGCTCAGATGGTTGGGCCTCGGGCTCTTGATTTTGGCTCAGGTGGTAGTCTCACAGATGGTGGGATTGAGCCCCATATTGGGCTCCACAGTCAGTGGGGTTTCTGCTTGAGATTCTCTCTCTCCCTCTCCCTCTCCCTCTGACCCTGTCCCCTTACCTCCGCTCTCTCTCTCGCAAATAAATAAATAAATCTTTTAAAAATATGAGTGTGATAACTTAATAGGCATTTTTCCAAAGAAGACATCTAAATAGCTAAGAGATACATGACAAGATGCTCAACATTATTAAACATCAGGGAAATGCAAGTCAAGACAAGAAGGAGATATCACCTCATACCTGCTAGAATGGATTATCAGCATTAAGAAGACAAGAAAACAGGTATTGATAAAGATGTGAAAGATGATAATCCTTGTACACTGTTGATGGGAATGCAAATTGGGTCATACTGTGGAAAGCAGTATGGTAATCAAAAGATTATAAATAGAACTATCATATTATCCAGCAACCCCATTTCTGGGTATGTATCGAAAGGGAATGAAAAGAGGATATTGAAAAACATACCCTCCAATGTTTACTGCAGTATTATCCACAGAAGTTAAGATATGGAAACAACCTATGTGTCCATTAACAGGAGAATGGGTAAAGAAAATGTTGTATATACATATGGTGAAATGTTATTCAGCCATGAGAAAGAAGGAAATCTTGCTATTTGCAACATGGATGGACCTGAAAGGCATTATGCTAGGTGAAATAATCCATACGGAGAAAGACAAATGCTTCAAGATATCCTTTATATGCAGAATCTTAAAAAAAAAAAAAAAAAGTCAACTTACAGAAACAGCATAAAAAAAGTGGTTGCCAGAGGCAGGAGGGTGGAGGAGTTGGGAAGATATTTAAGGGCAAAACTAGTAACTAGTAGATAAATAAGAACTGGAGTTCTAAGGCACAGCACAGTGATTATAGTAAGCAATACTCTATTATAAACTTCAAAGTTGCTAAATAACTACATTTTCATTGTTCTTGCCCCCCCCCCAAAAAAAATAATTATGTGACCTGATAGGGATATTAGCTAATGCTATAGTGGCAATCCTTTTGCAATATATAAATGTACCAAATCATCAGGTTGTACATCTAAAACGTACACAATGTTATGTATCAATTACATCTTAATAGAAGATAAATAGAAAATCTAAATTCTCCAATATCTAGGAAATAAATCTCTAACTAAAAATTTAGTCAGAGAGAAGTTCCTGGCCCAAATAACTTATCTTGTGAATTACTCCAAACATTGTAAAATAATTTGCAGCTGTCTTAAATATTTCCAGATAGAAAAAAAAAAGAGAGACAGAGAGAAATCCACAATTAATTTCAGGACATCAGCATAAATTTACTAACAAAACAGAAAAATTACAAGAAACAAATGCTAAAAGAAACCATTGAGTTAAAAAGCAATCCATAAGTTGATGGAAGATGTTATAATACCATAGATTACCAAAGATAGACTCATGGTCAGAACATAGAATTCTGTATGATTATAGGAAAAGACAGGCAATTTAAGAAAAAAAAAAAGAAAAGAAAAAAGAGGAGAAACACCTCCAACAGGCACAAGAAAATATTTAAGCAATAAACAAGTATGTGAAATGGTATATATAACATTATTAGTGATTAAAGGAAACACAGACTATGTCTCTGCCTCTCTCTCTCTGTCTGTAATTAATAAATAAATAAAATCTTAAAAATAAAGGGGCAGGGCACCTGGTGGCTCAATGGTTGAGCGTCTGCCTTTGGCTCAGGTTGTGATTCTGGCGTACTGAGATCCTGTCCCATATCAGGCTATTTCTGGGGAGTCTGCTTCTCCCTCTGCCTCTCCCTCTGTGCTTCTCATGAATAAATAAAATCTATTAAAAATATTTTAAAAAGAAAGGAAACATAAAACCAATGTGATCAAGTATAGGCTCATCAAAATGGCTAAAATTAAAATGACTGGCATCACTTACAAATAGTGATGATGACTCTAAGCAACTAGAATGCCCATGCACTCCTGTGGGAGTGTCATTAGTTTAATTATTTTGAAAAAAAAATGTTTGGCAGTATCTACTAGAATGGAGTGGAATGCAAATATTCTCTGGGAATCAGGAATTTTCATAATTGCATCACAGGGCACATGCACTTGTGTTTATAGCAGTATTATTTCTATTAGTTACAAGCGAAAGCAACCAAAATGTCCAGCAATAAGAGAATAGATTGATCTTAATATAGTTATAAAATAGAAGACCTACATAGAAAAGATTCTGTTGCAACCACAAAAACATGTTTAAATTAGCCTTCATGTTGAGCGGATAACAACCACCTACTCCTACCCCAGTCCCAGTGTGTGTTTGTGTGTGCATGTCTGCATGTACGTGTGTCTGAGTTGCAAAACAGGCTCAGTCACTGAACAGAATTCAGGGTCGCAATTACTTTGAGGGAAAAAATACCAGAGGGGTTTCTGGGAGCTGGCACTGTTCTCATTTTTGATGTCAGTAGCAGTTGCACAGTTGTATTCACATTGACTAAAATTGTAGAGCTTTATATGTTGTGATGTATTTTTTATATTTGAGATACATTTTAACAGAAAAGTATAAAATACATGAAC